CGATAGTACCGACGTGCATTTACTGAACTGGATTATTTCGCAAAAAAAGAAAAAGAAAGATACTCAGTCAAACTTAGTTTATCAATACAATGTTCAAGTAGAGTAATTATAATTTAATGAAATGTTCTGCGTGGGTTGTTTTGGAGTTATTCTACTTTTACAGTTTGATAAAAAATTTGGAAAGTAATACACATATAATAAATAGGTATAGTATTTGTAAAACATTACAAATTTTACAAGTAATATACGATATAATTTACAACTACATTAAGTATTTTTATTAACTTATAAGTATTGCTCTTAAGAGGATTATTCGTGTTCTTATGCGCGCCTCTTATCCTTATGGTCTAGTTTGTCAAATTATAAAAATAATAATAATATTTTGAAAGAATTTTGTGATATATTTGAAGAAATTTATACATAATTAATAGCTGCAGTTATTTGCACTAGAAATTATGATAGGTGACATGTTAAAATTTCCATATAATTACCGATTTGAGGGCCAGCGATGGCAGGAAGCTTAATTTTACTCATTAACTACTACTAGAATTTTTACTATGCTACACCATGCGAAACTATTATATTTTCAACTCTGTTATACTAATTCAATAACTCAAACCACAACATGTACTCCTTTGGGCTATTAATAAATTATCTTGTCATTATATAACCATTAATTTAAATAATACTTGAAGGACTTCCGTTTTACACTTATGGGGTAATTAAAAGATGGATCAAGTTGTAACGAGATTAAAGATAAATAGTTATGCCATTTTTTTTTGCATTAAACATGAGCATCTATTTGGTTGTTTTCAAACAATTTATTAATCAAAGCTAAAAAATGCTTAGTTGGGATTTATCAAGAATCATTCGTTGCAGTCGATTTGTCAACGTCTCGCAAGCATTCGACTATTACATTTCTACAGTGAATGAACCTGATGTTACGACACAAATATTAAATTACCATGAGGATATTTTATGTATGTATGTGTGCATATTATAATTAATGGAGTTTGCTCATCGTCCGGTGCAATAATTACAAAGTGTGGTATTTTATTTATTATGTTGTAATCAACGTAATAATGAACGATTTGTGATAGCTTTACTGTCACCATACTTTGCTTGGAGCTAAGCTGTTAATGGTCTATAACTTAAATAATAAACGTTGATAGAAAAATGCTGACAAATTAAAGATATCGCGATCAAAAATAATTTAACGACTACAAATATACGCAAATAACCGTATTTTTTTAATCATACACCCAGAGAAAAACCTCGATCTATATAATAAATTCATTGTTCAATTTGATAAATATATCATTACTATTGAATCAATGATATATTTATCAATATGATATTTTTTTTTCTTGTCTTGAACAATAATTATTTATAAGAATAGTTATTTTGTTCGTATTAATAAAACATTATCATAAACCCTTGATAAAATTTCTCTTTCAATTTTGATTGAGGTTTTTCTTTGGGTGTA